GCCCCAAAATATCCCTAAATCTGCACGTTTCCTGAAGGAAAATGTGGGGAATGATGTTTTCCAGCCTTTTTTGGGTGTGATGGGGTTGGAATGGATTGGGAGGGAATGGCTGCACGTGGATTGGGAACAGGGTCCCTTGGCCCACGGGAATGTGGAATTCCAGAAATAATTCCAGGGTTGGGATGAGCGCAAAGCTACAAAAAGTCAAAATTATCCCCATGAAAGCGACGGAATTTTTTGGGAAAAGCTAAAACCGAGCTCAACCTGGGAGATCCCGAAGGATAAATCCAGGTCTGGAGAGCGGAAACCACTCCGGGTGCGACCGAGGATGGATTTGGGATCCCCCATCCCAGGGGAATCTCAGGGATGGCAAATCCACCTTCGACTTTGGGTTTTTCCTGCGGGGAATTCGCCGGGAATGGTGGCGGGGTTGGGATAATGAGATGCTGCTCACGCTCCCTAATGAAGTGCCGAAGGAAGTCGGCGCTGGCTCCCGGCAAATTAGATCGGGATTATTGGAGCAGCGAGAACGGAACGATCCGAGATGGTATCGGAGCGGGCGGGAAGGGCTGGATGCGCCCGCTGGCCTCGATCGCATTCCCTGGAAAGGAAGAAAGGATGGAAACCCCTCCCAAAACCTGGATGAGAGGGGGAGAGGGAAGGGAATGGCCTCTCCACTGGAAGTGCTGATTGGAGCGGGAATGGGATGTGGGAATGGGGTTCTCCGGAGAATCTCCAGCTTCCCATGGGCTGCATCTCCCCGGATCTGCGCTCCCACTCCTGGCTGGATTCGGCTCCTTTGTTTTCCCTCCAATTCCCAGCCAGATCGGGCTCTGTGCTCCCTTCCAAAAATCCCTTGGATGTGTTTGCACCCTCCAAACGTGACAGATTTGGGAATATGAGGGGTATGGGAATGTTAGCACCCTCCAAACACGGCATGTTTGGGAATATGAGGCTCAAGTCGGGATCGTGGTCAAATTTCCCTGGAAAAAACGGAATTGGGATGAGCCAGATCCGGCTGCCGAGTTCCCCTTTTCCCTTCCAACCACAATTCCTGGGATTTGGCTCAGTGCTCCTTTCCAAGAGGTTCTTGGATGTGTTTGTATCCTCCAAATGTGGCTTTTTTGGGAATACGAGGGATTTGGGAATTTTGGCGTTCTTTGAACACGACAAATTTGGGAATGCGAGGCATATGGGAATGTTTGGATCCTCCAGATGCGATGTTTTTGGGAAAACTAGGGATTTGGGAATCTTTGGATCCTCCAAACGTGACATTTTTGGGAAAATTAGGGATCTGGGAATGTTTGGATCCTCCAAACACCATGTTTTTGGGAATACGATGTTTAAATTGGGATCATTCTCCAATTCCCCAAGGAAAAATGCGTTTCCAATGGATTTTCCCCCAATTCAGCCCTTTCCCATCCTCAGCTGGGATTGGGACGAGCCGGATCCGGCTGCCGGTTCCCCCTTTTCCACCGTGATCCCTCGGGAAGGAGCCACCCAACAACGGAGCTCGTTAAAAGCGTGGAAAACACAAATTTAATTAAAGCCAACCTTGCCTTTACCAGGAAAAGAAATCCGCCCTTTTCCATGGAACAATGGATTTTTCCAGCCCTCCCGTGCCGGGATTCCTCCCTCTTTTCATCCCTCTCCTTTATTATCCCTGGCTGGGAGCAGGCGCTGCCTGATTTCCATAAATTTGCATCAGGAATTGGGGGGAAAAGGAGGAGGGGAGGGAAAAAAAAGCTGGAAAAATCAGATTTTCCAGCGCCGAGCTCGCTCCGAAGAAAGGAGCCCTGGCTGGAGGAGGGAAAAGGCAGGAAGGGGTGGGAAAGGTCCTGGATTTTTAAAGTTCACCCATTCCCGGTTTTTTTGGGGGGAGAGAAAAGCTTTCCCAAGGTTTCAGGGAGCCAGAATTCCCGGTTTATCAAAATCCCTAAGGTAGGATCCGCAGGGCAGCCCCTCATTCCGGGGTTTTTTGTGGTTTTCCCAGGAAGGATCCGGAATTTTCCGGCTTTCAGCTCTGAGCTTCCAAGAGGGAAAGGCCTTTGGAGCCTCCCAGGCCACACTTGGGGAATGGGATGGGATAAAATTCAGGATTTGGAAACTTGTTTTTCTCCAGGATTGGCTTTTCTTGGGATTTAAGGAGAGGCCGATCCATGGGATCATCATCCAGGTGGGACAGGAGCATGGAGATCCCATTTCCCAGATGAGGGAATTATCCATATCTGGGATAAAAAATGTCGGCATTCCCAAGCCAGGACATGCTGGAGAAGCTGAATCCCAAAGCTGTTCCATCAGGAATCATCAAAATGATTCCCAGTTGTTGCTTGGATGGGATTTTCCAGCTTTTTCACTTGGAGAACAGCAAGTTTTTGGGGTGGTTTTCCTCCTGGTGGAGGTTTCTAGGGATGGAAAACAGGGATTGAGGAGATGTTGGGATGAGGCTTTTCCTCACCCCTTGGAGCCTCTCCATCACCACCGGACGCATTCCCAGGGATCCGTCCCTTTTCCCAGGGAATAAAGGGCAGGAAAAGTGGAAATGGCCTCCGAGTGCAGCAGGAGGGATTCGTGTTCCCGGGAATTTGGGGTCGGGCTGGCGGGAAACGATGGGAAAATCCCACAGGATTCCTCTGCCTGGGATGAAGCCAGAGGGGATTGGGAGCATCCTCGGACCCTCGGTTTTCCAGGGAATCCAGGCTGCTCCCGATGGAATGGGCTGTGTGGGACTGGGAGTGCTCCTGACTCAGCGGGAGCTGAGACAATTCCAGGTGGGCCGGGACACCCGGAATGTGCGTGGGAGAGCAGCTAAATCCGTCTGGGAATGACTCAGAGCACTCGGGATCCGCTCAGCCACCCCCGAGGTCCCTTTTCCTGAATTCCCAAAGCTCCAGAGGAGAAGGAAAACTCCGGAGGCCTCCAAAGGGACGGATTTGGGATGGCTCCACTTCCAAACCTCGGGAAGCTCCGGCTCGGTCGCTCCCATTGGGAATTTTTCCTTGTTGTTTTAATTTATTCCTGAGTATTCCAATTTCTTTTTGTGGAGCTTCCCAGAGCTGGAAAAAAAACCCTGGATTGTGCAATGATCCCTCACTTTTGGATGAGGCCAGGAATGAGGCCCCGGCCTCCAGCATCGCCCTGAATTCCCCCCAAACACCAAAAAATTCCAGGTGAATTCCCACAGAAAGCTCTTCCGATTATTTCCAGGGGAGATATGGAATTGGAGATGATTATCGTGATTATTCCTGCAGGAAATGTTATTCCAGCGGGAATTGGGAAGGAATTGGGCGGGAATTGGGCAGGAATTGGGGGAAACTCACCTGGAATGGCCCCAGGGGCTCGGAACATCCCAATCCCAATCCCAAACATTCCTGATCATCCCAGCTTTGGATTCAGTTGGATTTCCAGTCCTTTCATTTTCCCATTTTTCCCTCCTTTCCCCCTCATTTTTCCCTTTGTCCTCTCTCCATGTCCAAAGCTCGGGACAATCCTTGTGGAAAAGGCTCCATCCCTCCCTTCCCCACCCCTCCCAGGGCTTTTCCTGCTCTTTCCAACCTTGGAAAACTTCTCCCTGCGGAGCAGGAGCCGTTCCAGGGGAGCAGATGGCTGAGGAGGAGGAAGAGGAGGAGGAGGAAAATCATGGATGCAAATTCTCCGGGATGTCTTTGCAAGATTCCCAGTCAAGGTCGTATCGCTGGGAAAAAGCATCCCGCAGGATTTTCCCCCACTCCCCCAAATTTTGGGGATTTTTCATGGATATTTGAGGCTTTTAAAGCGCCCGGATCCCTTGGAAGAATCCATAGGAAAAGTGAGGATTCCTCATCCATCAGCTGGGACAAACCTGGACAGGGATGTCTGGGATCCTGGGATCTCAATTCTGTGTTTGGAGCAGCCGGAATTCCCGGCTGTTTCCGACATCTCCGCAAAATAACCAATCCCAGCTTCCCCAAGCCTGGATCCCTTGCAGGAAAACAGGATCCGCTGGAGATTCCCTACAAAAAAACCTTTGGAATGTGGAGATTTCTTTGGATATCCAGTGGGGGAATCCATAAAAAAACGGACCCAAAAATTCCGGGGATTTTCCTCAAAGCGTCAAAACTTCCCCGGACCCCCGGAAAACTTCCAGGGATGAGAAAATTCCATGTCCAATTCCCCCCACATGGATTGAGGGGGAGCGGCAGAGCCGGAATTCAGGAGATCAAAGGAATTTGGGCCTCCTTATCTCCAAATTCCAGGGAAGCTGAGGCTGAAAGCCGGGAAATCTCCCAGCAGCCAAAAGCCGGGAAGGAGGGAGGGAGGGCAGAATTCCCAAATCCCTGCTCTGCTGACGAGGTGAGAGCGCGGAGCTGAAATCGCCGTGGAGAGGGATTTATCCCAAAAAAGGTGACAGCGGAGCTCAGCTGTGGCATGGGAAGTTATTTTGGGAGTAACTGGGATGGGGAGGCCCTGGCACAGATTATCCAGGGAATCTGGGGCTGCTCCATCCCTGGAAATGTCCAAGGACAGGGCTTGGAGCGCCCTGGGATCGTGGGAAGCGGATCGGAGCAGGATCAACTTCCAGATTCCATCCTAAAAATTCCGGGTTCGTCACAGCTCATTCCCGTCTTTCCAAGTGGGAATGGAACCAACCAGAGACGTCCCCATTGCTCCTCCCCGCCTGGGGCTGCTTTGTCCCACCAACATTCCCAGTTTCCAGCCAACATTCCCGGTTTTCCTCGTTCCCAGCCAATTATTCCAAGTCCCCATTCAGTATTCCCAGTTCCCAGAAATATTCCCAGTTCCCAGTCAATATTCCCAACTTCCAGTCAATATTCCCAATTCCCAAATCCCTTTGTTTCCCGAAATCCCCCCCAGTGCTTCCAGGGCTGGAATTCAATTTCGCTTCCCAAAAAAAAAAAAAAAAAATCCCCAAAATCTCCTGTGGAGGAGAGAGAATTAATTAAATCAATTAAATTAATTAAATTAATTAAAATTAATTAAATTAATTAGTGGACATTGTGTCATTAATGCCAGACTTTAATTAAATTGTGTGGAGATAACGACTCTGGAGCTTCCCAACAGCCGAACATTCCCAGGATGGAGAAATTCCTGCTAAAACCGATCCAAGGTGAGTCCAGTCCTCTGGTGAAGCTCCAAAGTCAGAAATTCCAGGCGATTTTCCACCTAAAAGCTCCAAAGTCAGAAATTCCAGGCAATTTTCCACCTAAAAGCTCCAAAGTCGGAAATTCCAGGTGATTTTCCATCCCCAGATGGTGCCTTCCTCCATTTCCTCCCTTCTTTTCCATCCTTTGGGAGATCCCGGGCATTTTCCTGGATCCTGGGAAATCCGGGATCTCCTCAACTCCTTCCCATCTCTTGGAAAAGATGATCCCGTGGGATGAGGAGTGGCCGGATCCTGGATTCTCCCATGGAATTTTCCAAGGCCACGCGGTGGTGGCGTATTCCGGGAATTCTTTGGGATGCGGGGAAAGCTTCTTATCCGGCTCACCGCGTCCCGCTGCTCCTGGATATCCCGGATGGATCTGAGCTCCTCCAGAGGGGTCGGAATTCCCAACCGATCCCATTTTCCAGGTGGTTTTCTCTGCTGACGTCTCCAAAGTCATTCCTGAGTATTCCATGGATATTCCGCCCTTTTCCAAGTCTCTGCTTGGGATTTGCACTTGGAGTTTCGTTCTTTCCCTAAAATTCCCGGAGTTTAGTGGCAAGAAGGTGGGAGAAGGCGCTTCCAGATGGATTTGGAGCTGGAAAACATTGGATTTTCCTGGGATTACCGTCCTGCCCTGATCTCAGCCGCAAAATTTGGGACTTCCTTGCCGAATTTGGGATTTTCTCCTCTAGTTTGGGATTTAGGGCCTGGATTCATTCTGGAAAAGTCAGGAAAAAAAAGAAACTGGAATATTTTCCCTTTGGGAGCTTTTTTTTTGGCCCAAATTCCAGTCTCCGAGGGCGGGAATGCGCTGACCCGGATTCCGGCTGCTCCCGGGAATGAGGCTTGGACCCGGTTTTCCAGGTTGGATCAATCCCTTGGGAATCTGGGAAAGACAGGAGGGCTCCAGCTCCGCCCAAAAACTGGGATTGGTTTTTTTTAGGGAACGAAGGGATCCAGCTATGCGAGGGAACGTGGGAAAATCCTTATTCACAGGAAAAATCGGGAATAACCGCGCTGCTGGATACGTTGGGATGAAGCAGGAGCAGTTTTCCCCACCGTCTCCGCTCATTCCCTCCCTTCCCAAGGCCAGGAATTCCCTGGGGCATTCCAAGGGAGCTTCCACCAGCTGCTGGATTCACAGGGAATTAAAAGCCGGGAGAAATCGGAGCGATCCGGACACGGCGGGATTGGCATCCCGCGATTCCCGGCGCTTCCCTGTCTGCTCCGATGTCCTGGGAGCCGCCTGACGGGCCAGGAGCCGCTCCCGGGATTTCCCCGCGGAATCCGGAGTCTGCCAAGGAAGCTTCGCCTTTGGAAAACAAATCCCGCTCCCAACATTCCGGGTTATTCCCAATTTTCCTTCTCCCTCTGGGGCGAGAGGGGTTAAAATTCCCATTGGGAAGGGGTGGAAAAGGGGGAATTTTAAGAATCCTGGTTTCGTTTTCTTTTCCAAGGAAGCATCAGAGCTGTTGAATCTTTGGGAAACGATTCCCAGCTTCCCAAAAATCTCCACCCGCCTCATCCAGGGTTGACTCCCATCCAAAGGGATGCTCCAATCCATGGCTAAGGAATGTGGGAATGCTGGGAAAGCGGAATGTTGGGAATGCTGCATTTTTCCATGGAAAAATTGATGGGAAGAGCAAAACTTTGGGGTGGGGCAGCCGAAGGGAAAAGTCCTGGATCGGATCATCCTGTGGCGATGGATTTGGGTCAAAACCAGCCCCGAATAAATTGGGATTTGATTCCAAGAATTTCTGGAACCGGGGCTTTTCCCAAAGGATTGGAGGCAGGGAGGGAAAATCCAGGAATTGCAAAGATTCCTGGATTTAGTCAGTTGGGGTTTTGCAGGGAGAGCCTGATTCCCATCAGGAACCCCCAAATTCCACCCAGGATCCTCTTTTGTTCGGGAAAAAACACCGGGACTAAGTTTTGGAGTCACCCATCCCTCAATTCCCGGAAATTTGGGATAAAATCCCCCCAAACCCCCGTGTCCAGCACCAGCTCCTCCATTTTTCCCCTCATGAGGAATTTTCCATGAAAAACTGGAACATCGGGAGTCAAAAATTCCCAAATCCACCGCCACGGGGTGGCTCAATCCAAGACTTTTCCCTGGGCTGGAATTCCAGCTGTTTCCCATCCCCAGGGAAAATTTTGTCCCGGTGTTTTCAGCCCCAAAAAAGGATTTTGGGAGGGATCTGGGAGGTTTTTCCATGGAATTGTCCAGATGGAAATCAGGGAGCTTTCCCCTGGGATTTTGGCAATGGGTGGAAGGAAAGGGTTTGGGAAGACAGGGAGAGCCGCTGGAAGTGGGAATAAAGGATAAAAACGTGGATTTTTGTAAGGAGAGGGATGTGGATTTCTGGCTCTTCCTCTCCCAGGAGTCCCCAGGCATCCCAACCTCTCTTCCCAAGGAATCCTGGCATCTTCCCGGAGTCTGGGAGCTGAAGGAAAACCAGGAATACCTGTGGAGCGAGGCCCTGGAAAGGTTGGGATCCCAGCCAGGGAGGGATTTTGGGGGGTCTGGGATCGCTCCAGGCTGGATCCGGGGGCTCAGGGAGAGGGGAATTGCTTAGGGAAGAGGGAGCAGAGGGAAAGCACTGCTCCCTGTGGATCCCTGTGGATCCCTGGGGATCCCTGTTCCTGGATCCTGCATCTCACATCCCTGGCTGCATCCCACATTCCAACCCCTCCTGTATCCCAGCCTTATCCTGCATCCCACATCCCTGGCAGTATTCCAGCCCCTGTATCCCAAATCCCTGCCTGCATCCCCCCCAAGTCCATCCCAGCATCCCCCCCAGATCCATCCCTGCATCCCCCCCAAGTCCATCCCAGCATCCCCCCCAGATCCATCCCTGCATCCCCCCCTGGAT